CCTGGCACCTTCTACCATTTCTTGAGTTTGGCCAGGAATGATGCCCGAGAGCAGAGCCAGAAGTAAGCCCTGCACACGATCACATGTGGCCCCCAAATCAAAAAACAAAAAACAAAAAAGTTTACATTTAAACAAGGTGTTTTATCCACCATATGGTAAGAATAGACTAGAGCTTCAGGCGAAATCCGGATCTCTATCCGTACAATATGATTTTAAAATAGTCAGTGAAAGAAGGGGCACCGAAGTGCATAGTTTCATCAGTTCTCAAGTATGTATGTAATTCCTGAATAGTTTTGCTCCATGGCTTGGAGGCCAGCCACACACTCTAGGGAAAAGGGAGCTCAGATAGAGAAAGGAGCACCAGATAAAACATGTTGGGAGGATCCTCCCAGGATGGGAGAAGCATGCTGAAAGTAGACTACAGACCAAACATGATTGCCACTCAATGCCTCTTTTGCAAACATCCAAAAGGAGAGAGAGAACAAAAGAGAATACCCTGCCACAGAGGCAGACTGGGACGGGGGGAATGGGAGGTGGGAGGAATACTGGGACCCGTGGTGGTAGAAAATGGGCACTGGTGGAGGGATGGGTGTTTGATCATTGTACAATTGAAACCCAAGCACAAAAATTTGTAAATCTACAACTGTATCTCATAGTGTTTCACTAACAGAATTTTTTAAAACAATGTAAATGATGGAGAATGGGCACTGGTGGAGGGATGGGTACTGGATCATTGTAGAACTGAAACCCAAGCACAAAAATTTGTAAGTCTACAACTGTACCGCATGATATTTCACTAATAAAACTTTAAAAAAAAAAGAAGATGCCTCCGGACTCCAGATATTTAAAAATTTTAGAATTCCAGGAAAGGAGCCATGCGACATCTCATACTATTCATAAAAATCAATACAAAATAAAATATTTAGCATCTGCCTACAGGACAGGCTGGGATTGTGGTGGGAAATTTCAAAATAATGGTGGTTGGAAGGTGTAATAATGGTGGGATTGGTGTTGAAATATTGAATGTAAAATTTATTGTGAACAGCTTTATGAAAATATAATTTTAAATGTCAAAATTGTAAAAAAAAGAATAGATAAGTAGAGTTAGAAATTGAAGCATACAGTAAATCATTATGTTCCTTTCCACTAAGAAATTTCCAGCAGAAACATAATTCTCTCACTAAAGTAATAATATTTCCTCCTTTAGGTTGGAGCCATAATACAGAGAGTAGGGAAATTGCCTTGCACACCAACAAGCTGGGTTCAATCCCTAATACCGCATATGGCTATGGTCCCCTGAACCTTTCAAGAAGAGATCTCTGAGCACAGAGCCAGAGTAAGTCCTAGACATACGTGGGCCCCAAAACAAAGCAAAAAGAATATTTCTTCCTCATTCTTTAGGGAGAAGTCTGGTGTAAGTAGTTAGGAAAAAACAGTTCTTAAAAAGAGGAACCATCAAGGTCATTGCTTTATCACATGTGACTACATCGTGCATGTCTGAACGTCATTATATCTATTCCTCCATAAGATGATTATCGTATGTTAAATATGATCAAAATTGTATCCCATCATGCACCTTTCCCTTATTTTACAAGTTCTTGTAAACTTTCAAAACTTGTGTCTTTTTTGTCCTCCTCAAATAATACATTTGATGTATATCAGGAGAGTTTGAGGCTATAGTTACTAAAACAGTTCTTCGTCATGCTTTCTCCAGTGATACACAGATGCCTAAGGTTTACTGTGTCCAAGGGCACACATTAGAAAAGTTGTCAATATGAAGGGAGTATTGAGATCCTTTTTAAAATATTTGGTTTCAAAACTCTCTATCCCTATCTTCAGGTTTAGATGAGATCAATCCATACAATGCTATCTAATTTTATTCTTCAACTTTATGGTAGGAGGCAATGAGATAAATATCGAGATCATCAGGTACCCAAGATGTTCGAATCAGACCACATTTTCATCAGTTGCATATCTCCTGATCCCTGGTTTGAATTTGATCATCTTTGTTTTATTGATCCAACAATAAATATTAGATAGATTGCAACTTTTATGTTTCATTTCATCTTCACATAAAAGATACCCCAATGGCTGTCATTTGATAAGAACTATGTTGGTTTTATTTCTGGCGTTCTTAAAAAAATTGACAATTTGTCAAAAATAATGACTCAGAAATAGTAACAGGTGCTAGAGCAATAGTACATTGGGAGAGCATGTGCCTTACACTTGGCTGCCCGGGTTCAATCCCTGGCATCCTTTATGGCCTCTGAATCCCTGCTAGCAGTAATTTCTGAGCGCAGAGCCAAGAGTAACCCCTGAGCATTGCCCAGTGAGACGCCATCTTTTCCCCCCTCCCCCCCCCAAAAAAAAGCCAAAAAAAAAAAAGAAGAAAAAAAAGGAATCGTAACAAATTCATGCCACAAGAGTGCCAACCTTGTTTCACCTCACCTGGGTTATGAGGCCAGAAAGGTAAAGTGTGAAACAAAGCACTGCAATGTAGCTCTGTTGCAATTTCCTTATTTCAAACACATCTTATGTAACATGTAGCCTAGTGGCTTAATCATGAATGGAGTAAGATGTACCAAGTGTTAGCTCTAGCACATGCTTGTTTTGTCTATTGGATATCTGAATTGGCTGGCTTACTGTGAGTCATTTATTAAATGTATCAGTGGCTTCAGAATTCCACAGAATTGATTGATAGTATTGTGACTTAATATTTTTCTGAAGGTCAAGAGGTTTCACATGGTTTTAAGGTAATAGGCCTTGAATGTCACATCAATATTTTTCTATTATTATATAGTTTCTACTTTGGGAACCACACCTAAAGGTGCTGTGGGGCTTCTCGTAGCTCTGTGCTCAATAATCATTTCTTGCAGTATTCAAGAGACCATATGTGGTGCTGCGGATTCATCTACTGGGGTTCATGGAATGCAAAGAAAGTCACTTAACCACTGTATTATCTTTCCACTCTCCTAAATATTTCTTGACGAAAATATTAGTTAAATGATAAATAAACATGCTTTTAACTAGTAGAACAATTCTCTGTGATCAGAGCCTGCTGCAAAAACTCTTAAATTTGTTGTTTAAAGTTTGTTGTATAAGATAATAGATCACGATCCTCCCGTTATTCATCAATTTGCTCGAGTGCACACAGTAACGTCTCCATCATGAGACTTGTTGTTACTGTGTTTGGCATATCAATACATCATGGGTAGCTTGCCAGGTTTTGCCGTGCGGGAGAGATACCCTCGGTAGCTTGCTGGACTCTCTGAGAGGGCTGGAGGAATCGAACCCGGCTCGGCCGGGCTGGCTGCATGTAAGGCAAGCGCCCTACCACTGTGCTATCACTCCAGCCCCTTAACTAGTACTTTTATTATAATTAAAACCCTATCATTTAGTAAGCACAAGAATTATCACTTCCATCTTACTAACTGAATCTTCAACTAAATTAAATTTCTATTCATAAATGAGTATGGCATAGAGAAGAAAAATATTAATTATACGTTTTCATTAGTTTTACTTTTTAACAAGACAAAACAAGATGATTTACTTGAGCCACAATTGTAATTTAAGACGAAACAGAAAGTTTGAAGGAAAGAATTATCCACCCTCAGAGTCATCCACTATGGTATTATTTTTATAACACTAGCCTGTTAGACTTTAAAAAGTACAATTCTGCTCACATTACCTGGTAGAAGCATATTAACCATAATATTGACACATCCATTCCCACAATTCTAAGAGCATAAGCTTTTAAAAAGCTATCTTTTTAAAGGAGGCTTGATATGTCATCAAACATCACACAACTGACATTCAATTTAACATTTATAAATGAATTAGTAAAATATGGGCACCACAATTGGCCTTCAGAGAGGTGGTTCTTAGAGATATGAGGGAAAACTGAGAAATAATAATCAGTTGATTTGTTACCTAATCTAGATAATCATTAAGAATATAGCACCATTTACTTTCAACCTAGGTATTCTATAAACAGAAATCTAGGTTAATTTCTTTAAGAAGTCTGTTTTCATAGGACTAGGGTTTCAAATATTCCACAGTACTACACTTGGTAAATCCCTACTTATTATAAAAAATTGAACTTCTTGTTTCCACTTTCCAGGTATTTTTGTTTTGATGCTATAATGAAAATATTAACCTCTTTAGTTTGAGGAGGAAAATCCCTCTAGGCTATATTAGTTCTACATTATGTGTGCATGTTAAATAATGATTATCCAAGATACTCCATTTGAATATACCATTGATCAACTGCACCATCACTGGAACAGCAATTATCAGCAATTGTATATAGATGTACTATGTGAATTTGTAGCAGAAAGATATCTAGTTGAGGACTTTGTTTGAGTGATTTCATATTCCTTACAAAATAATAATGTGCTTTTAAAAAGTAACAACTCACATAATCATTTATTTCTAGAGTTACATTTATGTTTCCATTTTCATATGACTTTCATTCATACTCTTAAAGTATACAGACATACATAACTTAAGTAGATTTGTGTTGTAAATTTTTTTTTTACTTTCTATGTTTACTTAGGAATCTAAAATTGAGTACTTTTAGTATATTATTCACTCTTATAGAAGAAAATTGTTCGTCACTGTTTTTCATTTCCTTACACATATTTTTTTTCTTCCTTTTACTCGTAAAACATGTTGGAAAGATTTATTTTTATATAAAAATTTAAGATTAAAAAAATCTTTCTGGTCTTCAAAGTAACTGGAGGAATATAGAAGTTTGAGTTTTAGAAAATGTGTCATAAACTATAATAGTAACAGTAAAATGGTTTCTAAAGAATTACAGTTTTTTAAAAAATGTATTACAAGTACAGATGTTGAAGTCATATCCTGACCAAAGGAGGAAGTGGCAGGTCACTGGACTCAAACTTATCTAATTATATACATCACAGACAGCACATTGCTGACTGTTTTCAGTTGTTTCTGTAACAACTGAAAGTGTGCTTGCTTAGAGTTAGTTGTCTGAATTCAAAATGCTGAAGAGAAAAACATCCAATGTTTCAGAGAAGGAAAAACATCAGAAACCCAAGGTAAGATAATTTCACAAAGTCAAATAAAACTGATCCATTTACTAGACACACACAGACACGGACACACACACGCACCACACACATTTATACACACACCCTTTGTTCATCTTATTTTTAAGTCATTAATCAATTCAGCCAAAGGATTGAATGCCTCTTTGCAAGTATGGGGGTAAATTGTATTGCATGTTTGATGTTAAATAAGTCAACAATGTCTAAGTTTATCATGTATTGCATATTTTGATCATTAATATTTTAACTGAAGTTTGAATTTCATGGAAATCAGTTTTGTGGCTTCTGTCTGACAGGTTAATAAACCTCGTGTGCATTTTACAGACTTTAACGTTTATGTCTGCTTAATAGCCAACAAAATGAATGTATCTATTAAGTGCTTAATTCTTCATAATAAATTTAATTGTTGAAAGGCCATAAATTGGGCTTGTTTGGGCTAAATATATATTTTTTATATTTTTAAACTTAAATATTGTGTCTTGTATTATGAATTATTGTTAAACAGCATTTCAAAAGAGAAGATTGAGTTGATTTAGAAAGTGTGAAACTTCACAATGAAAGAGTTGATAGAATAAGTTGTTCTGTTTGGAATATTAGTCTATTCTTGCCTTAAAAATAGATGCCAGTTAAAAAGTAAGGCCTGAGATAATAAAATTTAGATTGTATTGTAGAACTCTAAAGTTAGCTTCATGTGTAACATAAAAGAAAGTGTTTATGAAATATTGATGCCAGAGTTTCTGACTTATTCATAAATAGCAATGACTGAGTTTAGAGTCCTTTCTAAGGACTGATTTATTATGTAATATTGGTCTTTATTTATTATCTATATTGGTCTCTACCCATTCTGAGAAAAGTAGTTGGGAATTGATTGTAAATTTTGAGTTGTGTGACATTGAACAGTGGTCAATGTCCTAAAACCCTATGTAAGTTACCACAAAACCTCTCTAGAAAATAACTAAAATTAAATGCTTTACAATCTTTGGAAACAAAGAAAAGTGATTTTCAAAATTCTTATGGTACAAAATTCTGGTAAAATATAAACATCCTAGTTTAAAAAAGATAGCATATCATAAATTCTTTCTTTCTAATAAAATTAAAGTTCAAGATAACTTATCCAAAGAGTACAAGAAAGTTTCTAAATTATCTTTTCATTGAGGATTAATTTTATAGAAAACTCATTTGATTACACAACAAATATTTAGCTCACAATTCTATGCTTTATATACATAAAGGATACATCACAAAAGCAAATACGCATTTTGTGATTTTCCCCCAAGTATTTAAAATTTAAGTTAGAGTATATCTTAAGGATTACATTATGTAGTAATTAGTATTTTTTTTATTTCACTCTAATTTCTAATTTCATGACTGGGCCCAATTTTATGTTTCATTGTTATCTTAAAATTGTAACAGCCATGATGGCTTCGACTATTTTAAGTTGTTTTCAACTTGGAATCTGAGAATCAGTTAAATTTACCAGTTACTTGTGATGGTAGAATAAGATTATTTTCTGATCCATAAGGTCTCAAAGGCTGGAGGTATAGCATAGTGGGAAAGGCGTTTGCCTTGTATGCGGCCGACCTGGCCTACCCGGGTTCAATTCCTCTGCCCCTCTCGGAGAGCCTGGCAAGCTACTGAGAGTATTCCGCCCACACGGCAAAGCCTGGCAAGTTCCCTGTGACATATTCGATAAGCCAAAAACAGTAGCAACAAGCCTCACAATGGAGATGTTACTGGTGCCCATTTGAGCATATTGATGAACAACAGGAAGACAGTGCTACAGTGCTTTATTTCACTCAACTATTTTTAAAATGACACACTGTCATCATCATTTCTTAATTTCAGGAACTACTGTAAATTAACGTGGAGACTTGTTCATTTAATTGTTTTCTAATTATATAAGATTACATATGTATTATCTGAAAACAAATTATATCACAGAAAGCGGTCATATTAGAAAATTATTACTAAGTTTTGTTGTGAATGAACTTCCATTTTCTTTAAATTAATAGTTTTGTTCTGTATTAATTTAAAGAGACATATGTGTATATATCTGCGTGTATTTTATACAACCAAATCAACAGTCTTTCCCTTTAATGTGGAAGTGATATTTTCCTAATCATTATAATGATGCCTTAGAAATAACACCACTTTATTTCACATTTATCCTATTGGCTAATTGTGTATTTTTTAGAATAAGAACAGATTCCATAAAAGTTGGAAGAGATTGATGTCATGATGTTCCCTAAAAATAAATGGCTAGTAATTTGAAGAGAGTAAATCCCTTCAGTTTTTTGGGAGGGCATGAAAGAAAAAAAATCAATCTGAAATGTAGCAGATCTCGATACTAATTTAACCACATACTAGACCGTAGTTCAAGGTAACCAAGAAGTGTGCATCTTTTGTGCCATACTCTCAAAATTATTGACTTTTCTTTCTCCTTCCTTCCTTCTTTCCTCCCTTCCTCCCTTCCTTCCTTCCTTCCTTCCTTCCTTCCTTCCTTCCTTCCTTCCTTCCTTCCTTCCTCTCTTCTCTCTCTTTCTTTCTTTCTTTCTTTCTTTCTTTCTTTCTTTCTTTCTTTCCTTCTTTCTTTCGTTCTCTCTTTCTCTTCCTCTTCTTCCTTCACTTCCTTCTTTCCCTTTCTTACAAATGCTAAGGTAGATAAAATGCTAATATTTAAAATGAGAAAAATGTTAAATGTTCATGTTAACTCCCGTGGGTTATATTTTAGATGACTTTATATTGAAATAAAATAACAAATGCATATTTTACTTAACATTATCTCAAATAAAATTTTTGAAAGTATTTATTTCAAGAGGAAATAAATGGAGGAATTTAATATTGGTGATTTAAAATAGATGTTCCCATTATGAGGTTTAAAATACTAATAATTATAAAATGCAGTCATAGATTCTTGAGTTATGTGGCCAAACAATGTTATATTCACAAAACTTATCAATATAAATGTTCATGAAACATATATTAGAATAAAACAGTATTCCAAAACACGTTTGCCACGTTTAATTTTATTATTAATGTATCCTCTTTATTACCCTTTATTACACTGTTTCTCCACTTTTGGTTTAAATTCTTTCCTTCAAATCCCATTACAAAAGGACCAATAAATTTCATATCTATTATGAAATTTAGATTGGTATTCTAAAATGATAGGGGAGGAGACAATAGATATTTGGTATGAGAAATAAGGAAACCTTGAAAAAATACTACAAAAGAAATCACTACGTAACAAACTCCAGAAATTCAATTTGTGTCTCAGAACACTTGATGGTTTGTAGATAAAAATCACATTAACTTTATAATTGTTGCTGAATATTCTAGATAAAGATTAGTCTGTCAAAATAACCTTAACACATATGCAAAGATACTGAACTTCCATTCTGTAATTCTGTTTTTACTTCCTCATTAATAGTGCTAATAATACTGTTTGTTTCCTTCCAGTGTACAAAATATTTAGGATTCATTTGTATTTGACACAGTTTCATGTCACTGTTCTCTGTACATACTTTAAAACACAATATAATAATTTTCCTGTTTTTTTTTTGTTTGTTTTGGGTGACACCTGGCGATGCTCAGGGGTTATTCCTGGCTCTGCACTCAGGAATTACTCCTGTCGGTGCTAAGGGGAAAATATGGGATGCTGGGATTTGAACCTGGATCGGCTGCATACAAGGCAAATGCCCTACCCATTGTACTATCGCTCCAGCCCCTCATCCTGACTATTTTTAAAATATTTTTTCTTAGTTTGCTCTATTAATCACTAGTTCACGACATACCAGTTGCTGTGTTCAGAGTTTTCCTTTAGCCTAAATTTTTTTATAACAAATTTTTGAGAGAATCATTCTTACATGAATTTCTCAGAGAATTTCTACATAGATGAAAATACATAAAAATGATTACCTGAGCAAATATACATAGTTGGATAAAATATAAAACTATGTGACATGAAATGCCATGTGTCAACTTCTAGTGCTTTTGTTCTTTAATTAACATGCTGCCTTAGCAAGCAAAAGGATTGTGGATGTTAGTTATATGCCTGCCTGAATTGCTATCCAAATCTTAAGGAAAACAGGTAAAAACATATCTTTAACTGCCTTTATATGTTAGAAAGGAATTTGGAGTCCCTCCATTTCTGACTAACTGATGAAGAAATTACACCTACAAAAATCTGTTCAAGTGTCCAACAAAGATTCAATATTTACAATTGCAAAACAATCCACTAGTATCATTGTTATTTCAAAAAACAAGGCGTAATATTTAAATAAGTATAACCATGCATATCTCTCCTGTTTCTACCTTGATAAATATTTGTAAAATGAAGTTACTTCTGTCTTGAAGTATGCAGCTTTGTTTGTGTAAATACTCAGTAGTGCATTATTCTTAAAGGAAATCTAAATATATAGAAGATAGTTTGTATGTATATGTGTAAAAGTAATTGTAATTCATTTTTTAAGTTTTACTTTCAACAGTACTCCAGTATATATGTTATGCAAGATTCTTTAGAGACTCCTGTGGCAACACAATAATGGATCTTTGTTCCAGGTCAGGGAATATAGTAGAAACTTCAAAATAGGAAAGGAATATAGACACCACAAATGAAAGTCCGTAAATGTAATTAGAGCAAGTTGGCCTTTGGTTAGCTGGGATTAATGATCTGTGTTAATAAATTTTAACTTAGGTTTCTCTTTGAGTAAAATGATTCAAATCCCACTGTTATCTTAAAGGGAAGCACTGGAATAATGGAGTTCTGAAAATAGCTTTTTTTCCCTTTTTTTTTTTTTACCATTTTTTAAAATCTAAAGTGCATACTAAATGAGACACCATTAGTGTCACAGATGCTAATTTTCACTAGCAATGACTGAAGTGGCATTCTTTCCCATTTGCATTTGATCCTAGCAATGATGAGAGGTGATGAGTTGATTATGAGCTGTTTTCACTGCACTGCCCGCTGTGCAAATTTATGCTCCTAGACA